CGGGTACCAAATTTTGTGATTTTAGCACGAGGTAGATTTTGCTGGTATTAAAAATTGCGATTAAATAATTATTACTAATAGTTATATGGCATCATGATGTCATTATTAATAATTACGTGTATTAATAATTGCGATTTTTAACCCAAACGCAAAATTCGCAATTAATAGTACCCGCATTTAAAAGTAACTTTAAGGTAATAATTTTTTGCCATTGATACATTTCATAAGTTGTTGAAAATACAAATGTTCAAAACATTATTCTACCAAACATTTACCTCCTTTATGTTTCTTGCTGTAAAATAACGATTTAATCATGTCAATGTAATCCTGTCTAGATTTTTCTTCTCCAGGAAAGCCACAGGACAAGAAAAAGACCTCAAACCTTTCGTTGTACTTTTCATAAACGTTTTCAATTCTTTCAATTTCGTCGCTCATCCACTTCTCCCCTTTCAAGTGGCTGGGAACAATCTTAGGAGCTACAGTATACCTATATGTACAAAACAAATGATAATGAGGTTTGTTTTGAATATTCAGCTAAACTGACTGTTTTGAAAAAGCACCAAATGATCCAATGATGAGTACGTTTCTGTCTTGGGGTTGAAACAACCTCCAAGTGTTAACTCTTTTCCTTGTTCTTGGTTTACAGGCTACCTCTGGCTCTGACTCATCAAATTCAAGTTCTTCCACTTCTTTCACTTCAGTGTCTTTTTTAAGAGGCTGAACAAGAAGGACTGGTTTTACAACTATTGTAGAGTTGACTTTACAGTCACCAAAATCTATAAAAAGTAAAACATGTAAAAAACAATACATGTACATGTACATCCAATAGACTCAAACTTATGAAATACTGTTAATTAATAGTCATTATGTATTAATGGCTAGTGGATTAATGGCTAGTGGCTGTGGTCATTTCGGTCATTCGTGGCAAAAGTTAGTTCCATATTATTTCAATACGAGAGTAGTATTCAATACTTTGGAACTGAAATACTTATAAAATCTTTCGTGGCCCAAAATTTTTGTGAATTTTGTGATTTATTCAAAATTCATAAAAACAAAATTCACAAAACTGATTTAATATTGATCAACATTCAACAAACAGATTTTTGGATGAATTTGTAAAATTTTTGGGCCATGAAAATTTCTCGCTATACAGTACTGCCACTCACTATTGACAAATCACCTGTGCAGTACTATTCACTAAAGGCCTCCATACATTAGGCAACATGTTGCTGGCAACTTTGTGGTTACTTTGATCTTGTAAGCAACATGTTGCCAGAAATAGAA